TACACCGCCCGCACATCCAAGCTTAAAGCACCTGGTCTACCCAAGCGTTCAGGCATCAAGTACTGATCAGGCTCGACTTTGCTTAACTTCGGTGATCATACGGAAACCGGGGTTTCAACGGCATGTGTTCGGAAACCAGCAACTTGTGATTGTTGTCATTTTGTATTATGTTCATTTAGTTTAATAGCACTAGATTCCAAATATAAAAAAATAATATTAAATTCTTTGCTATGTAATTTTATTGTAAATTGATCTCCGCTGAAACCACTTAAGCACATGAAAATTCATAGAAGAGTTTAGCTTACCACCTATCTGAAAACCCGATCTGGGTATGACGATAAACTACATCCGCGACCTGGGTAAAACGCTAAACTAAATCCGCGTCCTGGGTAAGAAGTTAAACTAAATCCAGCAGCAAGACCTCTGATCAGGTGGTTTACAGGAACGTGGAACCACCTCTTAATTGCTGGTGTTCTCAGGTCCACCCTGAACCGGGGTGGTAGCCCCTGTCAGGGTCCCAGCTATGGTCAAATAGTCAACTTCCAAACTGGGGTAAAAATACTATGAAATTAAAAAAGAAAGGTTTTAATACCAGAAATAATTTGTAAAAAAAAATATATTTCAAGGAATAAATTTTTGAAGAAAAAAAAAACTATTACCAGCAATACATTCTTGAAGGAAAAATATTACCATAAATATATTTTTTGACAAAACAAAATATTACCAGCAATAAAAAATTTGTCGGCATTAAATAACCCATTGAGGTTTATATGCCGTAAAAAAAACAAACCAAACCAAACCTATCTGAAAACATTTAACATTCTTGCAGTGTTAAAGTATTTTCAAAACCATGGTGCCAATTCGTCTTCGATGGCGACCAATAGTTCTATCTAGTGTGAACACTCAATGAGACAACTGGAAACAGCGAGAGAGAAAGTAGAATTATTGTCAATAGTTTCTTGTGATAATACACCACATTCTACACGTGCAAAAATTCATACCAATGTCTCTGAAGAATGTAAAGATGAATAAAAATTCTTCCTCACTTGTTTCCGTGATATTTTTAACTAGTTCCTCTGACTGTTCATAATTTTTCTTCCAACTCGCTTCTCCCAGCCGCCAATTTCAGTTCGTTATTCTATTTTTATGAAGATTCATTTTTTTCCCGCTTTCTTTTGTCATCAAGTGATCAATGCTAAAGCAAGTAGAGACATGACAGACCTGCTTTTACTTTCACTTTTGTTTTGCGCGCGAACCTTTATAAAGAATCTGCCACGTTACTCCTCATTAGTGAAAAAGGCGGGAAATATGTTTAACGACATACCAACCAGTATCATTTTATTTTATATTTTCTGATTTTTTAATTTACTTTTTTTTTTTCCTGTTTTCTGCTTTTGTTTTGTAGGACAAAATTCGAACTAGTTCCAATTACTAGTAAGTTCATTGATTTTCTTTATGTACAAGTCTTTCTTTCCTGAATGATTTCTTTATTCATGCGATCATCATATCTATCTTTCTTTCTTTCTTTCTTTCTTTCTTTCTAACATGTACATTCTTTCTTTCTTTCTTTCTTTCTTTCTAATATGTATATTCTTTCTTTCTAACATGTATATTCTTTCTTTCTTTCTTTCTTTCATTCTTTCTTTCATTCTTTCTAACATATATATTCTTTCTTTCTTTCTTTCTAACATGTATATTCTTTCTTTCTTTCTTTCATTCTTTCTTTCATTCTTTCTAACATATATATTCTTTCTTTCTTTCTTTCTAACATGTATATTCTTTCTTTCTTTCTTTCTTTCATTCTTTCTTTCTTTCTAACATGTATATTCATTCTTTCTTTCTTTCTTTCTAACATGTGTATTCTTTCTTTCTTTCTTTCTTTCTAATATGTATATTCTTTCTTTCTTTCTTTCTTTCTTTCTTTCTTTCTAACATGTATATTCTTTCTTTCTTTCTTTCTTTCTTTCTTTCTAACATGTATATTCTTTCTTTCTTTCTTTCTTTCTAATAAGTATATTCTTTTGTCTTTCTTTCTTTCATTCTTTCTTTTAACATGTATATTCTTTCTTTCTTTCTTTTCTTTTCTAATATGTATATTCTTTCTGTCTTTTTTTCTTTCTTTCTAATATGTATATTCTTTCTTTCTTTCTTTCTTTCTAACATGTATATTCTTTCTTTCTTTCTTTCTAATATGTATATTCTTTCTTTCTTTCTTTCTTTCATTCTTTCTTTCTTTCTAACATGTATATTCTTTCTTTCTTTCTTTCTTTCTTTGTTTCTTTCTTTCTTTTTTTTCTAACATATATGTTTATTCTTTCTTTCTTTTCTTTCTTTCTTTCTAACATGTATATTCTTTCTTTCTTTCTTTCTTTCTAATATGTATATTCTTTCTTTCTTTCTTTCTTTCATTCTTTCTTTCTTTCTAACATGTATATTCTTCCTTTCTTTCTTTCTTTCTTTCTAATATGTATATTCTTTCTTTCTTTCTTTTTCTTTCATTCTTTCTTTCTTTCTAACATGTATATTCTTTCTTTCTTTCTTTCTTTCTAATATGTATATTCTTTCTTTCTTTCTTTCTTTCTTTCTTTCTAACATGTATATTCTTTCTTTCTTTCTTTCTTTCTAATATGTATATTCTTTCTTTCTTTCTTTCTTTCTTTCATTCTTTCTTTCTTTCTAACATGTATATTCTTTCTTTCTTTCTTTCTTTCTTTCTTTTCTAATATGTATTCTTTCTTTCTTTCTTTCATTCATTCTTTCTTTTTATTCTTTCTTTGTTTATTCTTTCTTTCTTTCTTTCTAACATGTATATTCTTTCTTTCTTTCATTCTTTTTCTTTCTAACATGTATATTCTTTTCTTTCTTTTCTTTCTTTCATTCATTCTTTCTTTTTCTGTCTTCTAACATGTATCTTTCTTTCTTTTTTTTTCTTTATTCTTTCTTTTCTTTCATTCTTTCTTTCTTTCTAACATGTATATTCTTTCTTTCTTTCTTTCTTTCTTTCATTCTTTCTTTCTTTCTAACATGTATATTCTTTCTTTCTTTCTTTCTTTCTTTCATTCATTCTTTCCTTTTTTCTCTCTTTATAATATGTGCATTCTTTCTTTCTTTCTTTCTTTCTTTCTTTCTTTCTTTCTTTCTTTCTTTTCTTGCTTTCTTTCTTTCTTTCTTTCTAATATGTATATTCTTTCTTTCTTTCTTTCTTTCTTTCTAACATGTATATTCTTTCTTTCTTTCTTTCATTCTTTCTTTCATTCTTTCTAACATATATATTCTTTCTTTCTTTCTTTCTAACATGTATATTCTTTCTTTCTTTCTTTCTTTCTTTCATTCTTTCTTTTTTTCTGTCTTTATAATATGTGCATTCTTTCTTTCTTTCTTTCTGTTTTTCTTTATAACATGTTTCTTTGTGTCTCCGTCTTTCTTTCTACGTGCTACTTTACTAGTATTCTTTCTTTCTCCATAACATGTACCTTCTTTCTTTCTTTCTTTTTCTTTCTTTCTTTCTTTCTTTCTTTGTGATATGTGTCTTTCTTTCTTTCCTTCATTCTTCATAACGTCTCTTTGTATCTTTCTTTCTACATACAACCACTCTATTCCTTTTCTTTTTACTTTCTTTTTTTCTTTCTTTCTTTCTTTATAATATATATCTTTCTTTCTTTATTTCTAGTACGTCTCTTTGTATCTTTATTTCTTTCTACATACCACATATGTTATATTTTCTCTTTTCGTCCTAACATGTACCATACTTTCTTTCTTTCCTTCTTTCGATCTTTCATTGTTCATAATATTTACCTTAATTTCTTTCTTTCTTTTTTCTTTCTTTCTTTCCTTCTTTCTTTCTGCATAACATATCTCTTTGTATTTTTCATTCATTCTCTTTATGATAATCTTTCTATCTTCATAACATGAACCGTTCTTTCTTTCTTTCTTTCTTTCATTCTTTCTTTCATTCTTTTATTCATTCTTTCTTTCTTTCTTTCTTTCTTTCTTTCATTCTTTCTTCATAGCATGAGGCTTTTTTCTTTCTGTCTTGTTTTCTGTCTTTCTTTCTTTTCTTTCTTCATAACATTTAATTTTCTCCCTTTAATTCATTCTTTCTGCATAACCTGTCTCTTTGTCTTTCTTTCTTTCTATATACCATCCCTCTATATTCTTCTTCGTTTCTTTTTTCTTTCTTTCTTTCTTCATAACATTTACTTTCTTTCTTTATTCATTCCTTTCTTTCTTCGTAACATGTCTCGTTGTATATTTCTTTCTTTATTTCTTTCTAGGTTATTCTTTCTTTCTTTCTTTATTTCTTCCCTTCTTTCTTTGTTTCTTTCCTTCCTTTGTTTCTTTCTTTCTTCATAATGTGTATGTTTCTTTCTTTCTTTCTTTCTTCATGACAAGTTATTTCTTTTTTCTTTCTTTCTTTCTTTCTTTCTTTCCTTCCTTTGTTTCTTTCTTTCTTCATAATGTGTATGTTTCTTTCTTTCTTTCTTTCTTTCTTCATGACATGTCCCTTTTGTATCTTTCATTCTTTCTTTCTTTCTTTCTTTCCTTCCTTTGTTTCTTTCTTTCTTCATAATGTGTATGTTTCTTTCTTTCTTTCTTTCTTTCTTCATGACATGTCCCTTTTGTATCTTTCATTCTTTCTTTCTTTCTTTCTTTCTTTCTTTCCTTCCTTTGTTTCTTTCTTTCTTCATAATGTGTATGTTTCTTTCTTTCTTTCTTTCTTCATGACAAGTTCCTTTTTGTATCTTTCATTCTTTCTTTTTTTCTTTCTTTCTTTCCTTCCTTTGTTTCTTTCTTTCTTCATAATGTGTATGTTTCTTTCTTTTCTTTCTTTCTTTCTTTCATTCATTCTTTCTTTTTTTTTCTTTTATAATTCTGTGCATTCTTTCTTTCTTTCTTTCCTTCCTTTCTTTCTTTCTTTCTTTCATAATGTGAATATTCTTTCTTTCTTTCTTTCTTGTATATTCTTTCTTTCTTTTCTTTCATTCTTTCTTTCATTTTTCTAATATATATATTCTTTCTTTCTTTCTTTATTTCCTTTCTTTCTTTCTTTCTTTCTTCATATGTATTGTTTCTTTTTTCTTTCTTTATAATATGTGCATTTTGTTTCTTTTTCTTTCTTTCTTTTTTCTTTCCTTCCTTTGTTTCTTTTTTTCTTAATATGTATGTTTCTTTCTTTCTTTCTTTCTTTCTTCATGTATATATTCTTTTTTCTTTCTTTCATTCATTCTTTTTCTTTCTTTATTTTTCTTTCTTTTTTTTTTTATTCATTCTTTCTTTTCTTCTTTTTTCTTTCTTTCTTTCTTTTCATGACCTATATTCTTTCTTTCTTTCTTTCATTCTTTTTTTCTAACATATATTTCTTTCTTTCTTTCTTTCTTTCTTTGTACATTCTTTCTTTCTTTTCTTTCATGTTTTTTTTTTCATTTTTCTAACATATATTCTTTCTTTCTTTTTTCTTTCATTCTTTCTTTCTTTCTTTCTAACATCTATATTCTTTCTTTTTTTTCTTTTTTTTTCTTTCTTTCTTTCTTTCTTTCTTTCTTTTTTTCTTTCTTTTCTTTCATTTATTCTTTCTTTTTCTTTCTTCTTTTTTTTATTCTTTCTTTTTTTTTCTTTAATTCTTTCTTTCTTTTTTTTCTGTCTTTATAATATGTGTATTCTTTCTTTTCTTTCTTTCTTTCTTTCTGTTTTTCTTTCTAACATTTCTTCTTTTGTTCTCTTTCTTTTTCTTAAAAGGGATAGCAGATTCTTTCTTTTTCCATATCATGAAATTTCTTTCTTTTTTCTTTCTTTCTTTCTTTCTTTCTTTCTTTCTTTCTTTCTTCATAACATCTCTTTGTATCTTTTATTCTACTACAAATCTATTCCTTTTGAGCTTTACTTTTTTTTCTTTCTTTCTTTCTTTATAATACAGATGTTTTCTTTCTTTTATTTCTAGTACGTCTTTTGTTGGTCTTTTAAGGATTTCTACATACCACATATGTTATATTTTCTCTTTTCGTCCTAAAATGTACCATGCGATTGACGAGAAAAATTTTCCTTCTTTCGATCTTTCATTGTTCATAAGATTTACCTTAATTTCTTTCTTTTTTTTTATTTTCTTTTTTCTTTCCTTTCTTCTTTCTGCATAACATATCTCTTTGTATTTTTCATTCATTCTCTTTTATGATAATCTTTCTATCTTCATAACATGAACCGTTCTTTTCTTTCTTTTTTTTCTTTTCATTCTTTCTTTCATTCTTTCATTCATTCTTTCTTTCATTCTTTTTTCTTTCTTTTCTTTTCTTTCTTTTTTTCTTTTTCTTTCTTGTTTTTTCTTACTTTCTTTTTTTTCTTCATAACATTTAATTTTTCCCCTTTGGATTCATTCTTTCTGCATAACCTGAGAAAACAGGTCTTTCTTTCTTTCTTATACCATCACCCATATTCTTCTTCTTTTTTTTTTCTTCCCCAATTTCTTCATAACATGACTTTTTTATTTATTCAATTTCTTTTTTTTCGTAACATTTCTGTTGTATATTTTTTTTTTTCTTTTTAGGTTATGTTTCTTTTCTTTCTTTCTTTATTTTTCTTTCCTTCTTTTTTTTTTCTTCCTTATTTCTTTTCTTTCAATATGGACTTGTTTTTCTTTCTTTCTTTCTTCATGACATGTCCTTTTGTATCTTTTATTCTTTGTTTGTTTCTTTCTTTTGTTTTTTCCTTCCTTTGTTTCCTTTTTTTTCTTCATAATGTGTATGTTTTCTTTCTTTTATTTTCTTCATGACATGTCCCTTTTTCTATCTAGAATTCTTTCTTTGACCCTTTCTTTTTTCTTTCTTTCCTTCCTTTGTTTCTTTCTTTCTTCATTGTGTATGTTTTTTCTTTTCTTTCTTTTCTTCATGACAAGTTCCTTTTTTTCTTTCTTTCTTTCTTTCTTTCTTTTCTTTTTCTTTCTTTCCTTCCTTTGTTTCTTTCTTTCTTCATAATGTATGTTTCTTTCTTTCTTTCTTTCTTCATGACAAGTTCCTTTTTTATCTTTCATTTTCTTTCAGGGATGCCAGCCTAACATGTATATTCTTTCTTTCTTTTCTTTTCTTTCTAATTAGATTATATATTCTTTCTTTTTTCTTTCCTCATGAAAAGATTTTTTCTTTCTTTCTTTCATTCTTTCTTTCATTTTTCCAATATATATTGTTTTCTTTCTTTTCTTTCTTTCTTCTCCTTCTTTCTAACAAGTTCCTTTTTTCTTTCTTTTCATATATTCTTTCTTTCTTTCTTAAATTCTTTCCTTCCTTTATATATCTTTCTTTCTTTCTTTCTATAATGTATATTCTTTCTTTCTTTTTTCTTTTTTTTTTCCTTTTCTTCTTTTTTTTCTGTCTTTAAATATGTGCATTCTTTCTTTCTTTCTTTCTTTCTTTTCTTTCTGTTTTTCTTTTATAAACATTTTTCTTTGTGTTAAATCATTTTCTTTTTCTACGTGCTACTTTACTAGTATTCTTTCTTTCTCCATAACTACCTTCTTTTTCTTTCTTTCTTTCTTTCTTTCTTTCTTTCATTCTTCATAACGTCTCAAAACATTTCTTTCTTTCAACCACTCTATTCCTTTTCTTTAAAACTTTATTTTTTTCTTTCTTTCTTTTCTTTATAATATATAGTTTTCTTTTTTATTTCTAGTACGTCTCTTTGTATTTTATTTCTTTCTACATACCCATATGTTATATTTTTCTTTTCAAAAACATATACCATGTTTTCTTTCTTTCCTTCTTTCGATCTTTCATTGTTCATAATATTTACCTTTAATTTCTTTTTTCTTTTTCTTTCTTTCCTTCCTTCTTTCTTTTGCATAACATATCTCTTTGTATTTTTCATTCATTCTCTTTATGATAATCTTTCTATCTTCATAATATTACCTTTCTTTCTTTCATTCTTTATTTCATTCTTTCTTTCATTCTTTCATTCATTCTTTCTTTCTTTCTTTCTTTTTCTTTCATTCTTTTTCTTTAGCATGTGGCTTTTTTTCTTTCTGTCTTGTTTTCTGTCTTTCTTTCGTTTCTTTCTTCATAACATTTAATTTTCCCCTTTAATTCATTCTTTCTGCATAACCTGTCTTTCTTTCTTTCTTTCTATTCATCCCTCTTTCTTCGTTTCTTTTTCTTTCTTTCTTTCTTCATAACATTTATGTTTCTTTATTCATTCCTTTCTTTCTTTCTAAATATGTGTCGTTGTATATTTCTTTTCTTTATTTGTTTTTCTAGGTTTTCTTTCTTTCTTTCTTTCTTTTCTTTCCTTCCTTTGTTTCTTTTCTTTCTTCATCTTTTGTGTATGATACACCTAATTTTATCTTTCATATAAATATGGGTTTACCGGAAGACGACGGAAGATTTCTTTCTTTGCCTGACTGCGACTTTCAACCCATTTGCAGGAACAGTCTTCCCAAGAATATACCAAAACTACCTGTAAATATTCATTACCTTTTTCATTGTTTCAATACATTTTTTACGTACATTTATTGTTGTATTATTATTATTCCATGCTTATTCTTTCAACACTTCATAATGTGTATGTTTTTTTCTTTCTTTCTTTCTTCATGACATGTCCCTTTCATTTCTTTCTTTCTTTCTTTTTCTTTTCTTTTTTCTTTTTTCTTTTGTTTCCTTTGTTTCTTTCTTTTTCATAATATATTTTTTTTCTTTTTGTTTCTTTCTGACAAGTTCCTTTTGTATCTTTCATTCTTTCTTTTTTTTCTTTCTTTCTTTCTTCTTTGTTTCTTTTTTTTCATAATGTGTATGTTTCTTTCTTTCTTTCTTTAACTTTTTCATGACATTCCTTTTTGTTTTTCATTTTTTTTTTTCTTTTTTTTCTTTCTTTCTTTCTTGATTTCTTTCTTTCTTATATTTCTTTTTGTTTTTCCTTCTTTTCTTTTTTTTCATAACATTCAACCTTTTTTTTCTTTTTTCTTTCTTTCTTTCTTTCTTTTTTTCTCTCTTTCTTTTTTTCTTTCTTTCTTTCTACATACCACTTCTTTTTTATTCTTTCTTTCTTTTTTTTCTTTAATTCTTTCTTTCTTTTTGTATAACGTAACTCTTTGTATCTTTCTTTCTGTATTTCTTCCTACCTTTCTTTCTTCCTTTCTTTCTTTCTTCTCTCATTTCATTTAAAAGGGGATCAGTAGATCTCACTTAGTCTTTAATATAATCGAAATTCCAATTGAATAAAATCTCTCATAATCCATTGTAATCTGTTTTTAACTCATCTGAGGTAATCTGATAACTCTAATCTATTGTATTGAGCTTTACTATTCCCTTTAATGGATTCACTTGGACAGTTCATCACAGATGTAAAGTTCACTGGATGCAAACAGATAGGTGGTCCTACAGAAGGATGTTGAGAATACAACGGAGGCAGAATGTAATCAACGAAAGGAGAAAAAACAGCATGCGATTGACGAGAGAAAAATACCTTACGATTATCTGATAATGAAGATCACTTGGAGAACTTGACACTCACAAGATATACTGAAGGCAAATCAAGTAGATTTTCGAGTAACCTACTTAAACTACTTTTGAAACGGAATACAGAAGAGATAAATATTTAGAGCTTAAAAGCATATGAAGGAGGGCCATGATCGCTCATTTCATGAAGGATGCAATAACAAACACAAAGGTTCCATACTCCGATTATAAGACGATTGCAAAGAAAATTATCGTTAAAAAATGGCAACCTCATTGAAATACATTCATTAATAAGAAACTCCAAAACATTAAACCCACTATTGGAGAATGGATCTCAGAATATAAAAATAGGAGAAAACAGGTCGTGCTGCCTCGCCTTCACATAGGCCACACCTACATCACCCACCATTATTTACTTGAGGGCACAGAATCCCCAATATGCACAACATGACAAGAGAAATTTACAATGAAACATATACTGTTACTGTTTGTAGATTTTGATCTATTGTGAACAAAATATTACCAAGTAATGAATGATACTATTATTTGATACATCTATTTTTTAATGAAGATATATTGACATCAATATGGACTCGAGCTTATTAATCTTTATCTATAAAAGTCAGGATGTCTCTGTGTGTGTGTGTGTGTGTGTGTGTGTGTGTGTGTAACGAATAACAAGTTTCTCTATTTTACGAAAGAACCTAGAAATGCAAAAAGTGAGGTTTATCGTGCATGAATGTATCATAGGAATAGAAAGGTGACCCTCAAGATACTCACACATACAGTGGGTAGATCAAGGTAACTGGAGATGTCGATTGACATTACATTTGAATAGTTGGAGATTATAGCTTTCAGGGAAACAGTAATTGAGGAGGGTGTTCCACTGGCGAGAGGTGCGAGGTATGAAGCTATTGGAGTAGAAGAGACGGCTACATTTGAAAGTTTCTACGGTGTAAGGGTGGGAGCGGGATGCCAGCCTCGTAGGGCGATTGAATTCATGGAGTCTGGGAACCAGAGAAAGCAGCTCATCAGAGCAATTACCATGGAAGTATTTGTAGAAAAGACAGGGAGAGGCGACGGCGCGTCTGTGAGAGAGTGACTGTAAACGAGACGCCAGATCAGGGCCAATTAGATTACATATCCGTCTCTGGATCTTGTCAAGAACTCCGAGGTAAGCAGAAGGTGCTCCAGCCCATATATGGCAGCAATATTCCATGCAAGTGCGAATGGTTGTTTTGTATATTTGAACTATCGATTCAGGGGAGAAAAATTTCCTGGCTCGGCACAGAGAGCCAACTTTCCTCGCGGTGGAAGAAGCAATTGACTCAATAAACTACTTTTGAAACGGAATACAGAAGAGATAAATATTTAGGGCTTAAAATCATATGAAGGAGGGCAATGATCGCTCATTTCATGAAGGATGCAATAACAAACACAAAGGTTCCATACACCAATTAAAAGACGGTTTTAAAGATAATTATCGTTAAAAAATGGCAACATCTTTGAAATACATTCATTAATAAGAAACTCCAAAACATTAAACCCACTATTAGAGAATGGATCTCAGAATATAAAAATAGGAAAGAACAGGTCGTGCTGCCCCGCCTTCATATAGGCCACACCTACATCACCCACCATTATTTACTAGAGGGCACAGAATCCCCAATATGCACTATATGCCAATAGAAAATTACAGTGAAACATATACTGTTTGAGTTTGTAGATTTTGATCTATTGTGAATAAAATATTACTAAGTAATTTAAAAAAAAAATTTACGAAAATAAAACCATCCAAGACTGTTAATTTTCTAAAACAAGTTGGATTGTACTCAAAATATATGAAAAAAATATAAATATATATATATATATATATATATATATATATATATATATATATATATATATATATATATATATATACCGACAGTTGTGTTTTTTGTTTGTGCAAACTATCGCTATAAATCTATTTCAAAACATTTGTTGGCATTAAATGACCCACTCAGGTTTTGATATGCCATAAAACAAAACAACCAATGAACCAATCATGAATGGACACAACATATAAACAAGAAGATTGCTTGAGGAACTGGTTGGCTAGTTTAGGATGTGTTATGGAATTGTTAAAGGGTCAGGGTTCATCTCTTCACATCTGTGTTTCTTAAATACACAGCGTAAGAAAAGATTAAATAAAATCAAGCCCACATTTCCTCTTTGACGTCCTCCTGATGAAGTTTTATGGTTTTTCAGTATTCGGGTCCTCACAAGGCATGTACGATTTTGTGCATTGGTAATAGTCCCTCTAATAGTTCTATTAGATCGATGTATTCAATGAATGATTCGGAAGACGGTTCCTAATAGACGATACGTGCAAGTATTTCTATATGTGGTCAAACGATGTTGTGAGGAGGAAAAAACATATACAGGTAATCTATTAGAGGTAAACAAATTCTTGGAGTTATTTGATGACATATATGCCATCATTGCATCACTTACCAGACTTTCATAAACTGAAAAATATATAGTTAAATATATTGTTCCTTAATACTTTCACCAAACGATTTCAACATCATAGATCCAGCTGAGCTACCTCTGTATGTGTGAGTATCTTGAGGGTCACCTTTCTATTCCTATGATACATTCATGCATGATAAACCTCACTTTTTGCATTTCTAGGTTCTTTCGTAAAATAGAGAAACTTATTATTGAATTCGGGGAGAAGGTAAGATATTTTCAAAAGTATAACCTCAATGTCAAGTGATGGTTTATTATTCATTATTTAATAACTGTTTTAATTTCATCATCACTAGGTTCATTATTGTTTATGTTTGGAGACGTACTTTGTAATGATTGACTGTTTATATGTATATGTTCTATTGCTATGAGTTTCGTGTGGTCAGGGTTGAAATGGGATTCAAAATGTTTTTGAGGCCAGAACATTTCTTCTGTTGTGGTTTTGATTTTATTATTGTGATTTTTCGCTTTCCTCCACATTTTGTCATATTGTCTATATAGTGTGATTTCATTAATTTAATTTCCAATTTTCCAGAGACACTGGTTTCTCAAAGAGCTAATTAGATTCTTGTTTTTTATGTTCCGTGTTTCATATTTTCCATTCCATTTTTCTTCTGTTTCGTTCCATTTTTTCAACTCAGTGTTTTCGCCCCATGGGTGTATATTTTTCCTTCTACGCATT